TCAATCGATCCACTATTTTTATCTACTATTGTATTGCTATCAAAATTTTATTAAACTTATGCTTTGAGAATATTGTCATCGTTTTACACTGGACAAACTTATTAAATAACGATCAACAGTAGCCAGAACAATAAATAATGATGACAATATTCTCAAAGCATAAGTTTAATAAAATTTTGATAGCAATACAATAGTAGATAAAAATAGTGGATCGATTGAATAACCTACAAACTAGAAATATGCTCAATTCGTTTATTGAGAAAAAGTTGTTCAGGATACAAACCTAAACTTAAACTCGTTGTTAAAATAAGACTGATAAATAGTAAATCAGGGATAGATGCAGTAAAAAAGTCGATTCCACAAGGATTTGGTCGAAATGGTTTTTCTTAAAAATACCAGACAATTTAGAATACAACCAAAATAACCAATACCAATAAGCGGAAGCAGTCAGTAGCATGATACCTCTATTTGTATGAAACGTAATATCTCCATAAGTTGAAAATCTTCTATTTCAAACAACTTTTTGAAGTGAAGATACACAATGAGATGTTGTTGTTGCATAGGATAGTTGCTTCTTTTGACTAAAACGTAATGACAGACACCTTTGCAAAGTATTATAGTTTAAGAATATCTGTTCAATTCACAAGTTGTTAATATAAACTTCATTTAGTAGTTGACAAGAGGACATAGGCATCACCTAGTGGTTGTATTAAGTTGCGCTCAAAATTTTTCTAAACTAAAAAGAAGAAATATTAAAAAAGCCGTAATTGGCATAAGCCAAGAGAAGAAATAGGTGATAATAGCAGCGAGAAATAATATTAAATAGTTCGTTCAAAAATATAGAAAGAGTGATACGAAAAATGATAGGTTTGTTGTTCGACTTGAATGTGTTAATGATAGTACGTAGTAGTGTTGAGCGTAACACCTTTTCCCACTTAGAAGAATAACGAATATAAAAGAAGAATGTAACAATATCTAAAAGGAAATTAGGTTTTTCACGTATATGAAGAATATTTTATTCATTTGTTTAAATTAAGATAAACATCGTCCTTGGAAGAATCGAACATTCAATGTTTCTCAAAGATCATTCGCAGATGTTTTTTACAAGAGAACAGAGTCGAAACAGCAGTTTACCTCCTCCGTATTTGTCAACCTGCTCGTTATCTACAATGTTTTCCTTTTCAGATAGAGATTGCGGTGCGATCAGAGTGTCGTCTGCGGTTGACCAAACCATTGAAAACTAATTACAGTATGCTGTCGAAGGAAAGTCTTAGTAAAGTGCGGTGGACTCAATCCTTTTAGTTTAGTCATTCAAATTGTGAAATAAGAAGCTACACACACAAACCGAGAATCTCAAAAAGGAAAGGCTTCTCAAAGATCCGCTAAAGCACCCTTGCAGTAGATCGCTCCCTTAAGAAAATCATTCTCCAGTACACTCTGTGCCTTGTTAGGAACGGATAGGCGTGAGAAGACACTACCCGTACACTCCTAGAAAGGAACGAGAAGTGCCACATGCACTTATTTTGTTCTGAGCGGTTATATTTTTCTTCTCCCACTCTCCCTTACTCGTTTACAACCTAACTGTCGTCGTATAAAATACATAGACTTTATTGAATGATTGTGTAGAGTTTATCAATCGTTTGCTTTCATTCTAGTAACTATTCATTAGAACATCGCTATTATTTATTTTAAGATATTGCTAAATCCGATAATGATACGGAAAAAACTCAAATTTTTAACGAATAGTTTATCTCCACCTGTGCCAGGGCCACTCTCCCATCCTTCTCATACTCTACCGCTTGACCTATGTGTCACGCTATTGTTGATATGTTATGTTCACACGATATAAATGAGCAAAAGAGAGTAGAGAAGAAGGAAAAGCGAACAGCTTCGATAGAACACGTTTTTAAACAGTTCGAAGGTTTCTGTATCTTTTCAAAGGTAACCATCATACAATGTTTTTCGATTATAACAAACTCATGAACACAAAATTTCTGTTTTCCTCACAATAATTTTAGCGCGAAATTATACGATTATCTGCCCTGCTCCAATGAGGTCTTTTCACAAAAGATTTTAGAAACGCAGAAAAGTTTCGAAAACCAAATTTTCTAATCAGTTAAGTCGGCTAAACAAAACGACTATTCTGCTTAGAAATGGGATTTCCACAAGTCTAGAAGACCACCATGCCGTTGTTTTAAAATTGTTTAAACGTGATATTCGTCATCAGGCACCCGAGTTTCTACTAGTCCTGTTACTCTCGAACAATCCGGACAAAGTCGATGTAAATGTGATACGTTGTCGAAAGAACAATGCAATTACGCTTAGAACATTATTTCAATTTCACAATTTGTTCAGCATCTTAAAGATTCTTGATGATAGTCATTCAGATACTTGTAGCACAGACCCTTTTCAAAAACTTATTTGACAGATTAATCGTAATTTAACATTCTTATGGGTAGAAAAATAAAAGCTGTCAGTAAAATATGAAGTAATCACTATTTTTCCTTTTTTAATATTTGATTATTTTTTACACAAAGCAAATATAAATGTTAACTTATCTTATATAAAAAAATATGATTTTCTGTGCATTTGGCCAAAATTAAAATGTTACTTCTGCGTTGAATCAAACAAATTCTTTTTTCAGATTACATTGTCGAAAATAGGAGATTCTCCTATCGCTTCTTGCGCCATTGCAATGTTCATGATGGCATATTTTCGTCCTAGTACTTTTATCAAAATTAGATCTGACACTAAGCTACATACTGGTGAAATGGAAAGATTAATATCTATGTTAGTTTTATTTTTATATGGCAAAGAACTTTTTCTTCTCGCATGGATAATTATATCATCTACTGTATATATTTGATCATTGTCAAAAATTTTTTCATTGAGAAAGTACTACTGATACATCGTCAACGTCACCATCATTCGAATTTGGAACGGATCGTGTTATGATAACTTGTACTTGTAGATAACGAACATTTACCATGACCATCCCTTTCGTTGATTGATACAATAATTTAGAAATACTCCCACGCGCAGCCGCGTACACAGGACCAATCTTCGTACTTGAACCGAGCAGGAGCATCGATTGGCTGAAAAATAGAACGATGACTGCGGCACTATCGTCTTGAGTCCCGTATCCACCGAGCCATGCCGACAAATTATATGAAACGTTATGGGCATCAATAGCCGTTGAATAAGCTGTGAGATTAATAGTTTGTAACATACTAGTATTAGCTGATATTTGACCAAAAAAGTAGCAGCATCCACGATCACTAAACGCATCAAAATACTTTTAATTGCGTGATAAACTAACGATCATCCTGAATGGTTTAAGCAAATCTTATCTACTATTACCTCGGACCGGGATCAGTAAGTGATAGATCACCATATGTTGGATTGTTGTAAGATACTTGTGTTATAGGCCCGCTTGTCGTCCAGCCGGGTGGAGATATTGATCCAGAACCTGTTTCACAAGCACCGGTTTCTCCATTACCATTCACAACAACATTTGTATCATAAGCTATAAGAAAAACATATCGTTCACAAAGCTAATGCCAAAGTTTTATTATACCCCCTGTTGCAGCGGGGGATGTTGAGAGAAGTGTATTATATGTAGCATAAGGACTGGCGTAATTTGTTGGACAAGCAAATGTTGTTGTTGTGGCTAGAACAATGACAGTTTGAGTATTCGAAAAAACTCTAGAATGCAGTGAATTACTCGTCGTTGTGCTTGTTGGGTGAGCGCTGGTTGTGGTTACTAAATTTTGAAAAACAACAATCTCAGGTTTCACTTTTTCGTCAGAAGAGTTAAATCATTTCCTGCTGTGAATTACTTGACGTAGTGCTTGTTGAGTAAGTGCTGGTTGTGGTTGCTAAATTTTGAAAAACAACAATCTCTGGTTTCACTTTTTCATCAGAAGGGTTAAATAATTTCTTGTTGCTTTTGATATTCAGGTTAGAGTTGTTGATTGTGAAGAAAATACTTATATTTAGAATGTCTGGCACAAGTATAGTGTTTAGCCATACGGTAATTTCAAGTCACTGATAACTGCTTATGCTCTGTACCAAAACAATTGTAGTTTAAAAAACCAAAAATAGTTTCAAAGCTGTCACTGAGCGGAACGCTTTTGAGTTTAGAAAACTACCCTTAGAAAAAAGTTTTGAGCTCTTCTGAACTCTTATTCGTTCCGTATGGTGATACCCTCATAAACCCTTCAGAAATTCCTCTTCAAGTTTAGGAAGCGAACCTGTGCGTTTTTGACCTACGTTACTGACATATTTACATCCATCAGTAATAGGGGTGTTAATTTAGTGTTACTTTGGAAAATAAATGTAAATGAATCATTTATACTTAAAAAATAAAGATAAATTTTTCATTTATATTTAAAAAATAAATATAAATAAATGAAAAAAAAATTTATC